GTGACCCCAATGGGGCTGTGTTTGTGTCCCCAAATCCCAGGTGACCCCAGTGGGGCCGTGTTTGTGTCCCCAAATCCCAGGTGACCCCAAATCCCAGGTGACCCCAGTGGGGGCCATGTTTGTGTCCCCAAATCCCAGGTGACCCCAGTGGGGCCGTGTTTGTGTCCCCAAATCCCAGGTGTCCCCAAATCCCAGGTGACCCCAATGGGGCTGTGTTTGTGTCCCCAAATCCCAGGTGACCCCAGTGGGGCCGTGTTTGTGTCCCCAAATCCCAGGTGACCCCAAATCCCAGGTGACCCCAGTGGGGGCCATGTTTGTGTCCCCAAATCCCAGGTGACCCCAGTGGGGCCGTGTTTGTGTCCCCAAATCCCAGGTGACCCCAGTGGGGCCGTGTTTGTGTCCCCAAATCCCAGGTGACCCCAAATCCCAGGTGACCCCAGTGGGGCCGTGTTTGTGACCCCAAATCCCAGGTGACCCCAGTGGGGCCGTGTTTGTGCCCCCCCCCCCGCCCTCACCGTTGTCCGAGTCGGAATTGTCGGATCCGTCGGTCTTGGCGGCTTTTCCGTCGGGCTCCTCGGAGCTGCTCGGCTGCTTCCGCTTCCTGGGCCCCGGATCCCGCCGGAGCTTCTTCCTCTGCAGCTGGGAGAGGGCACAGAGGATCAGGGAATCGGGGAATGTCCCGGCTGGGAGGGACCCCTGAGGATCATCCAGTCCAATCCCTGCCCAAAATCCCACCAAGCGCCCGAGAGCCTCGTCCAAACGCTCCCTGAGCTCCAAAACCTTGGGATGTCCTGATTTGGAAGGGACCCACGGGGATCATCCAGTCCAATCCCTGTTCAGGACATCCCGAAATCCCACCATGTGTCCAAGAGCCTTGTCCAAGCACACCCTGAGCTCCAAAATCATGGAATATCCCCAGCTGGAAGGGACCCCTGAGGATCATCCAGTCCAATCCCTGCCCAAAATCCCACCAAGTGCCCGAGAGCCTCGTCCAAACACCCCTTGAGCTCTAAAATTGTGGAATATTCTGATTTGGAAGGGACCCACGAGGATCATCCAGTCCAATCCCTGCCCAGGACACCCCAAAATCCCAATAAGTGCCCGAGAGCCTCATCCAAACGCTCCCTGAGCTCCAAAATCTGAAGCCCCTCCCCACAGGGGATGAGCCAAGCTGGGCCCACACTCCCCTGCTCACCTCAAAATCCCAATCCCACATTTTCCAGTTCCTCTTCATCCCCCCTCCATAACACCGGGAATTATGAATTTGTAGGGAATTCTGATGCCCCTCCCCACTGGGGTGTGCCAGGGACGAGTCGAATGGGGCCGACTCACCTTAAAATCCCAATCCCACATTTTCCAGCTCCTCTTCATCCCCCTCCTCCGTAGCACCCGGAATTATGGATTTGGAGGGAATTCTGAAGCCCCTCCCCACAGGGGATGAGCCAAGCTGGGCCCACACCCCCCTGCTCACCTCAAAATCCCAATCCCACATTTTCCAGCTCTTCTTCACCCCCCCTCCATAACACCGGGAATTATGGATTTGGAGGGAATTCTGACGCCCCTCCCCACTGGGGAC